GTGCCCTCTCCCGGGTCATTTTCCCCGTTTAACGAGGCTGCTGCGGCCCCCCCCCCCGGCTCTCTGTCGGCAGCGCTCATTAGACAGCGGCACCCCAGCCCTGGCTCCCCTGTGGCGATGGGACCCGCGCGTGTTTTCCGGCTCGTTGAACTCAAACCTTCCTTCGGCACAGCCGAGCGAGCTGGGCTCTGCAGGGAACGCCCGCAGGATACATCCCGGCTGCGCTGTTTGAGTGGGCTGAGGTGAGGGCACTTTTTCCTGTAAGAAGTCAGCTCCACGCCTCACATTCTGGAACCTCCAGGAATAAAGGAAGCACTGGTGACATCGATCCCTGCATTTCGTAGAGAGGCACAGGTGAAACAGCTGAGCCAGTGCAGGTGTATAAAGTACCTGTATAAAGCCCTGTTGGTAATGTAGATCTTATAAAGAATCATAAGACCTTCAACAATTACAGGACCTCAGTGTGGCACATTGCAGCTGAAAAATACTGTGCTCTTTCTGGCCTTTGGATTTACAGTGGGTGAGAGATGGGACAAAACACAATCTGTGTCATGAGGACCCTCTGGGTCCTCAGCCTTCCCAAAAGCTGCCAGTAGCTCGGTTCCCTATGGGCTCCATCCTCCCCTGGCAGTGTCCCTGTGCTTGAAGGCTCTCTCCCATCTCTCTGTGGCAACCACCCATGCCCAGCCCACTGCCCACATACATCCTGGGAGACACTTTACACCAAGTTTCTGTGAGGTGAATGTCCAGACAAACGTCCCCTTACTCTTGTCCACATAGTGACAGAGGAATATTAAAAATGAAAATTAATTCAGGATGATTTACGGGTCAGTGCAGATGCCACAGAACTTCCACCTAAGAAAGCTGAATTTTTTTTCCTCCTGTGAAAAAGAAAAAAAAAAAAAGTGCCTTCTCATTTTGATGTGTAGGAGACCAGGCACATTCTTCTCCACTTGAGGTACAAGTCTCTGTGCAAACAATTGCACTCTGTGAGTTAACACTTCTCTTGTATGGAAAAATCATCAAGAAGAAGCAATTCCTGTACCTGAGTCAGGGATAAAAAAAATTTTAAATTACCAAAGTCCACAGTAGCAGTAAAGTGTCAGACCAAGTAACTTGGTTTTACCAGCTTAATAGTTATTCAGTTAGCTAATAATTACTTCAGTGGCAAGCTTAACCCCTGTGCAATGAGCACTGGGCTCTTTGATAATAGCAGCAATCCCAAGCCGAGTATCAGTTCAGGTGACCCCTCTGGTGTGTTCAACACTGTGTGTGTTGGGGGGCAGAGCACCCTATGAGCAAACCCACAGGTGTTGTCTTACCACAGTTAAAGCCAAAACATGAGGAACCCTCCATGGAGGGATGTCTTTCCCATTCCTCTGACTTACACATTCCTATTCCTATATGTCCCCATTTTTCGAACTAAAGCCAGTTGGTCTGGGTTTGGAGGGTACCACAGTGCTTTGGTCAACGTTGAAGTGAATCCAGTTAACATCTTCCTTTTTAATCACTCAGAAGTGACTCAAAAAGCCTGTGAGCCCTCTACACAAAGGAGCTGCACAAAGCTCATCAGGGCTGGTTAAATGATTCACAGCTGCAGGTTCATTATTCTGCTTGGAAAGTTTCTTCAAAAGGAGAGATAAACAGCTCTTCTGAGAGGGTAATAAAATATTCTTTTCTTTTGGTGTAGTCACCAGATTTTAACACTTTGAATGCTAAAGGGTAATTTTAATGTAGCTGCAGGGCTCTGTATTTGGCATATTGCTGGTTTTCAGTAGATGTACAGCTGGAAATTGATGTATCCTCTTTGGTGAACAGTCACCTGCCTGAGCTCTTGCTGCCCTATTGCAGCTTTGCCCAGCAAGTCTGGGTCTGGCACAGTCATAGCACATGTGTTGTTACTGAGCATTTCTAAACAAATCTGACTTCGATGACCAGTTTTCACGGGTGGCAGAGCTGTGGCAGACTTGCTGTGCACGGTTCCTGCACCATTTGCTTGCAGCCAGGTGAGAAAGAGCACAAGTTGCCCAGCAAGGGGAAAGGAGCCAGGGGATGGCTGAGCATGCCAGCAGGAGCACCGGAGAGAAATGCACAAGGAATCAACCTTGTGGAGGCTGTGCTTCTCTTCATGGAAGTGTTTACTGAAGAATAACAATTAAATTCAAGGAGACCTCATAGTAGCCCATGCTCCTGCCTGGCAAGGAGGTGCCAGGCAAAAAGTGCTGCTGGGACCAGCCACTGACTGCACGAGCTGCAGGGAAGCACATGCAATGAAACATCTTCTGCAGTTGGGGCATATCCAGGGCTGACCCCTCACCTGGGTAACCACAGCACCTCTTTGTGCAAAGGGCTCTTCATGCTGAAAGAAGTCAAGACACATGGAGACAAAAGTTTTGGTTTATGTCTGCCATGAGCAGCAGTCTGTGCTTTTTTGCTAATCCTCTTGTAATAGGGAGTATTATCTCATTTTCATAACTCAAAAATTACACAAAACCCAGAGGAGAGAGAAGGTGCTGAACCAGTATTTTATTTGATTGTTAGACCGCAAAGAACATAGGTGGATCAAATCTTACTGTATTACAACCACAGATATTTTAACAGAGCACATATTAAAGCAAGAGCATCCAGTGGGAGATTGTGAGTAATCAGGAGGAAGTTTGCCAGACTCTTACAAAAACAATCACCTCAATGAAACAATGTTTTTTAAGGCAGCTCAACATTGCCAGACTGCACACTCCTACTGAGGAAAGCGCTGCTGTGCAAGACTCAGCATGGGATGTGCTCTGAGGAAACAATGTCAGCTTTTCATCTGGGAGCAAACTGTCCCTTGGAGAGCTGTTGCCAGGTGAGGGATGATGTCTGCCTACTGCCATGGTCAGATGGGCAGCCTGTGGGTTTGACCTTGGCCTGCACCATCCTTCCATTCACACAAGGCTGAGGGATGCTGAGCCAGCATGCTGTCCTGCTGAAGGATGAGAGACAAGAACAGATTCTGATTTATTTAGCCCAGAGTAAGGAGTTTGACAGTTCTCTTGGACTGGATTGGGATACACATGCAAATTGCATTATTTATTCTGGTTGATTTTTTCCAATATAAAAAGAAGAGCATTTGAATAAGTTTTACTAAGTTACATGTTTATTTGCATTTGTGATTGGTTTGTTTTTTTAAGAAGAGACATCTTGTTTATGGAAACTTCCAGATAGTAACAGTAGGGAAATACCATTGGCAGTGTCATGGATTCCCAGTTTTCCAGACAGTAAAACACCCAGCTTAGGAGTAATGTCTGGTTAATGCTGTAATTTACTTTTAACACAGAATTAAAGGTTTTGGTACTGCCTCTGTAGTGCCAGCTCCAGGCAGGACTCCACTCCAGTGGAACCACATAGAAGGTTCACCTGGTCAGAGCTGATACCTGAGCCTTGGGTATTTGCTCTTTGAGGAGATGTTTCTAATTCCATTTCCTCCCCATTGCATATCCTCTGCAAAGTAATTCCTGCAGATGTGAAGGAAAATAGATCACTGTGCCTCAGATGGGAGCACAGACCTGAAGCCTTAGTACTGTCAATGCCACGGGGACTTGAGTGTCCCAAGCCATGCCAGGCCCCTGTCCCAGCTGTAGTTGTCTTCCTCCTTCCCACAAAAGCTTAGGAAAAAGCAAGATTAGTGTTACTCTTACTCTTTCCTCCCCTTCACAGTTTCTTTTTGAAATAAAAATACATTCTTGGGTCATATATTCTTGTACCCACTAAAGCATCTTGATTTCCAAATTGAGGCAGCCTTTCACGCTGGTCTGCAGCTGTGACATGCTGCCAGTCTGGGTGGAAATGCTCAGCTGTAGAGGTGTAATTTAGAGTATTTTTCATGGGCAGACTGAAGCTCATTTCCTTTTCACTGTCTTTTAAAGCTCAACCCTTTACCAACACAAGGGCTGAGCCAGTGCAGAATGGACACAAAGAAACTGGTTATTCTTTCTGAAAAAGAGGAGAACACAACTTTGGTGGCTTTTCATAGCCATAGGCTGAAGTTGGCCATGTGCTCCCACTGGGTATCTCTCTCTAGTGACCCAAACCCAGCTCTGAAACGTGGTGGCTGGCTCCCCTGTGAGCCCCCAGAGCAGCAGCTGCTGGTGCCAGCTGTCAGGCACACACATGCCCAGGAATCCCAGCTATCTCTTGAATTCCAGAGATACCATTTGGACCAGGACCAGCACTGCTGGTGCACCCTGCCATCAGCAATGTTGCTGGAACACAAGGATCAAATCTGTGGCGAATGCTGTGGCACATTGTCAGATACTCAGTTTAACTGAGCAGGGAATACATGACTGTTTACATCTTACAGGTTAAACTTCTTCCATCTCCTGCCTTTTGGGTTGAAGACCTGCAGGTCTTGTTTCTTCCATTGTGATAGAACCAACACAATGCTGGTTCCATCTCAGACAAAGGTGGAACCCCCAGTTCCATAGCTGCTTAAAGGTTGCTGCTGATGATGCCCACGGGATAACTACAGGACAGGGAGACAGGCTGGCCCAATGGGGAAGGGCTGCCAGGCTGGCAAGGAAGCCACGAAGAACACAGTTCTTGAGGACTGGTAAAAAATAAAATATTATTGAAAGTGAAAATAATTTAGATTTGATGCCAAAGAAATGTCAGTTCACAAAGTTAAAGCCCTAAGAGCTTTACATCAAGCCACAGTGGGCAGCTGGTGTGTGTATATCCAGTGTAGCTTCCCCATGTTTATTTAGATCATGAAAGGCTTTGTGTGCTGTTAAATAATTCTTTTCATTTTTGCTGACTGTTCCAATTAAAAATTTACTCAACACTCCCCGTTCTGCAGTTCACAAGTGGGCAATTCATCCCTAGAGAATTTTGATACCTGAGAGAACAAGGTCCTGAATGACCCAGTCAAAGGTTGAAGTTTGCGTGCTGTGGGCAGAAGGTTGACCCGATGGTCTCCAGAGGCCTTTCCAAACTCATTTTGCCCATGATTTTGCAATCCTCATGCGAAGCTGCCCAGCTGTCAGATGAAAGGTTCAGCTTTCTGCCACGATCGGCTGCACGCTGGATATGTCCGTCCTTGCAGAGTTCCTCTGGGAGGGTGTCTGTGCCTGCTGGCACGTGCTGCTTCTTTTGCAGCGGCAGCTCTCGGCCTTGGCATGCCGGAGCAGGGGGGAGACGGGCTGCAGAGCGTGGCCCGGAGGCGCGCTCCCGCGCCGGCACACGCACAGCAGGGAGCGCAGCTCCGCGCGGAAGCTCTCGTTCAGCCAGCAGTAGATGAAGGGGTTGTAGCAGGTGCTGCTCATGGCGAACCAATGAAAAGCAAAGTACAGAGCGTTGCTGCTGTGGATGGCCCTGCAGGAGATCAGCACCACGTAGCAGTTCAGGGGAAACCAGCACACGGCAAACACGATCACCACCACCATCAGCATCTTCAGCGTCATCTTCTTCTTCCGCTGATGGGCATAGTATTGCTCCATGGTGAGGTCCCCAATGGCATTCCTCAGCCAGAGCTTTTTGGCCACTATGGCATATGTGATGGAGATCACAAGCAAGGGCAGAACATACAAGAGAACAAAAGTAGTCAGGTCCAAGTACTTCCAGAAAAGATCAGCAGGAGGAGGGAAGCTGGGGAGGCAGACCATTCGGATGGTTCTGTTTCTGAAGATCAAAGAGAAAGAGCTCTCAATTCCACTACCAGCTGCACACATCTGAGGACAAACAGCTCAGACATTCAGACAAGTTTTAGTACAGGTACATGTAGCAGAATTCATTTGGTGTCGTTGGCAGGTGCCACTTTCAATGGAAAATTTTACTCTAGATTTAACTTTTGGCTCCAAGGAAGGTTATCTTAAACACATCCCCAGGAAAAGAAAGAAATCATCCATATTGTGTCCTTTGCTGATGAGGAAGCCCTCTCCCCTGTGCCTCCCCCAAACCTCTGAGCCCAAAACAACTAATGAACCAGCTTGGAAGCAATTCCATCAATTGTCATTGTCCCTTTGTAACAGACAGCACCCATGCAAAGGGAACGAAAACTTCTCTGTTTTTACCACCCTTTCTGCTCTAATAACATGGATGAAGGCGTGTGGCCTTGGCTTCTCTGGGGCTTTGCAAATTTCATACAACAAAAAATATGTAAATGTCTTACCCAATATAAAACCTCGTCAGAGTCTGATAAATGGCGTGTGGCAGAGAGAAGCAGCTGGCCATAACCCAGATGATGATGATGCAAATCCCTCCTTTCACCATGGACATGCGTGGCTTGAGAGGGTGCATGATCACCTGCAGAGAACAACGACTCCTGAGGATTTACAGTGCCTTGGTCACTCTTTAAGCCCCATGTTGCATGTGACATGCAGCAGCAGCTCCACATCTCTTCAGTGTTAAAAGGCAGAGAGACTCGCTTTACAGGACTTCAGGGAGCATAAGGGCTGGGAAATGCATGGAGCTGTGCACATATTGGATGTTACTGCTGGCCCAGAGCCTGAGCAGAGAAACACATTCTGTGTGACCCATCAACAGGACTCCAGAGACCAGGATAGTGAGATCTCTGTTGAGCTGTATGTGCTGTAGAGGATTACCTTGGGCAGTGAAACAGTAATTAAAAATAGACCTATCATGTCATCCAGATGATCTCTTGGCTGATGAAGCCTTTGGTATTTTATGCATGTTGCTTCTAGTCCCATTATAAATACCTACTTAATCAAGTTGTACAGCTCTCCCTGAGTATCTGTCTGCTGTGGTATTTCTCAGGATTAGCAATATTTATAGAGGCAAATGTTGGTTCCTCTTTTATCCGGGACATCTCCTCACTTCTGTCTTTATCTCCTTGGGCCATACTAGTTCATTCCAGCCCTGAGGAACCCACTCCACTGAATTTAAGGGTGTGTATTGTTTGCCCTTAATTAAACATGATTGATACCTAGCCATGCCTTGCAATCAACCCATAATCTACTGATTAAAATTAATCACTGTCAAAGTGCTTTGATTTCAGGAGCTGTAATATTGCACATGAAATGGGCAGACTGTCAAACTCTTTGTGGTAAAGAAGTCAGAAGTGGCAGTCCCAGTGATTCTCCGACAGCAGGTGGAGCCAGTTCTTGTTTTGAAGTTCATCCAGCCACGGTATTTATCACGTGAAGTTGTTTTTCTGTAGCAACTGTTTCAGTGACTCCAGCACTGCAAGAAATGCAGTCTGCCTGAGAGCTCACCTTGCTGGATCTGGCCTCCCAGCACTCAGCACTGATCAGCTAAAGAATAAATTACAAACTCTGTTTCACTTAAGGAAACCCTTCAGTATGTACTAATTGCTCGTTTTGAAAGGTTTTCCTGGCTGTTAAGTATCAGGGCTGAAGGAGGAGAGCATTTCTTACCTCGAACTGGATGAGTTAACATAGTTGTTAATGTTTCCAGCCTTAGGCAGGTGTCAGAACAGACAGACTCTCATAAATCAGTGTGGCGAGATCATGTGGGCTGGCTGGTGTTTGAATTCAGCACTCATCCCCACCCTGCTTGTGGGGCTGTGCTCTGAGGCAGGGCTGAGGAGGGCAGGGAGCCCACGAGCCCAATGGCCCAGGCAGAGCAGGGCTGGATCAGGATGTCTGGCACTGATCTGAGGTTTTCAGTATCTCCAAGGACAGAGATTCCCACTGACCACAACCTCTCTGGACAGCCTGTTGCAGAATTTCATCACCCTCACTGTAAAAAAACATTTACAGTTTTGTCCACTGCCATGAAAGCTGGAGCTCTCCCCTCTATTCCCTGCATCTCGAGACAGTGCAGAATTCCAGGCACTGGGATTTAAGGAGGAAACAACTATTTATTTAGCACATTATTCTCTAAGAAACACGGGGATGGTGTCTTCAACATACCTGGTGCCGGTCCAGTGCAATGGCAGCGAGGGTCAGCACAGACACGTGGACGGAGCAGTACTGAACAAACCGGCTGATGTGACACATCAGCTTTCCAAAAACCCAGGTGCTGCTCACAAACCTCACCTGAAGAACAGACAACATCAGATTAAGAGGAACAGTACCTGAAGAGAAACAAATTGGCTTCCCAGACACACAGCATGGAACAAACGCTTTAATACAGCTTCCTGAGGCTTTGGAGGTGTTTTATCCTTAGTTTTTCCTAGGGAAACAGTGACTGTGCAAGAGGGTCTCAAAGTGAGGTGAGATTTACTGCACCGTGCAAACCAATGGCTTGAGCAGTGCTCTGTGTATGTTGAGTACATGAGTACACTTTTACATTTACCATGGCCCTTCTGGAACACATAAAGAAATCTTGGCTCTGCTCCTCAAGGTTCTGCAGGGCACACTAGGTGCCTCCCAGAAAACATTATACCTTTGGACGTGTGGATGCTGAAAGCTGCATGCTCTCCAAACTTAGTGAAAGAAATCCATGGAATCTATCTCACCTGTTCCCAGAGGTCTTAGGGATGATGGCTTTTCTGCAGAGGAGAATGTGCCAAATTGCCTCATTCCCTCGTTGTTCCTGACTGTGTAATATTAATTACAATTTAATGTCGCTCATTTTGCTGCAGATTAAGCTAATTTGAAGTAAAGTACATTTACTACAAAGCATCTGTCCACAGAAAATTAGTCAAGACTAGCTAATCTCTTTTCAATTAGTCTAATTAATTTCCCTGTAGGGGTGACTCTTGCAGCACTGACTGTGACTGAACTAGAGCAGTGTGCTGGATCTCTGGAGCTGGTGTAAAGCTCGTTCCTGAGAGAGCTGATAAAAATTTATTTACACGTGCCTAGTGTGTGGTTGTTTGTGAGTGAACACACAAGAGGGCACCAGGCTCTCCCTGAACAAATTAAGGGATGCAAATCCCATCAGAGCAAGGCAGGGAAGTCCCACTAAAGAAACAGTATCAGTTTGAGAAAGGGTGAATTCCCATCGCTAATTCAAGACCTGCTTTCGAAAGGCTGAAGAGCACTCTGGGCAGGGATGAAGCAGGACTTTGAACAGGACTGCTGGGTCAAATCCAGGAGCAGAGTCCTGTGTACATGGCATGTATAGACTCTGACAGTGGGGCAAGAAATTAATCTTTAATTTTTTCCGCCTCATTCATTTAATATTCTTTTATATAATACATATATTTTTAGTCACTGAAAATAAAAAAAAGGACTACTAGCCCCAGGAAACACTGTCTGTAGTGGCCAAGGGAGGGACATGCCACCACACTGTTCAGTGCAGCCTGAGCACTTCCCTGAGATGTTGCACAGAGACTGACCTGATTCATGTTGTTTCCATAGGAAACCAGCCATTAGTTGGATTTTCTCTTGTCAAACTTGTCCCCACTTCCTTGCCCATCTACAGGCAAAAAGGGCTCCCAGATCTGTGCCTTGCCCAGGCAGAGGGGAAAAGCTGCAGCAGAGTGACCCCTGTAATGGACTGCGGGGTGGGGTCATGAGCCCCCAGCTCCTGTTGCCCAGGGGTGTTTGGGATGGGGCCATGGGGGCCTCTCCAAAAGGCAGAAAGGGAAGGGGGGCAAAAGTAAGTCAGGATAGCAGGCTGGTCCCAGCCCTTCAATCCTAGTGCACACAGCTGACAGCACACACAGACACGGCAGGCACGGCTGGACGGGGCTCACCAGTGTGAAGGGGGTGTTCAGGGTGGTGATCATCACATCAGCAACGGCCAGATTGACGATGAAGAGGTTGGTGGCAGAGTGCATCCTCTTGTTCTTGATGACCACGTGGCACACCAGGATGTTGCCAAAGAGAGAGATGCAGATGATCACAGAGTAGGCGACAATCAGCAGTGCCTTCACTGTCCGGCTCTGGGACTCGCCCTCATACTTGGCTCCACTATCAAAGTCCCCCAGGTCCTCCAGGTTCAAGTCACTGTGGAAGAAGGACTGGTTAGGGAAGCCGTAGAGTGCAGAGAAGAAGCTGGTTGTGTTGTGGTTCTCCGCTCTCCAGAAGGGCTTGTGCATGTACTGCAAGGGGAACCAGGTGTGTTGTCTCATGGCTGGGGCAGCAGAACCCTGCAGCCACACTCGTCAGCACCTTCTGCCAGCTCAGCTGCTAAAGTCGGTGGTTGCAGGAGGGAACACACACACTTGCCTTTTAAAAATCTGCCCCATGGTTGCAAACTAGAGGAAAGAGTTGATAAATGGGTCCTTGTGCCTGTGCTGGGGACACATCAGCTTCACCTCAGAGGCTCCCTGACAGCTGTCCTTCTTAAAGTCCCATATATTCCCCACAGAGAAGCTGATTCAGAGGCTGAAATATCAGAGATCCCCAAACACTTTCTCTCTGCACCAAGGAAGAAATCTTAGTGAATAATTCCTTTTGGGCACTGTTCTTCTTCAATCTGCAATTTATCCTTGGAAATCTGCTTTACTGGTTCTCCACACAGTCCTTAATCCATCAGGTTTTTGTTTCCCAAGACTTTTCAGAGCTTGACAGAAAAAAAAAAAAAAAAAGCAAGGGCTGTCTTTCGCTTTGCTTTTCCCTCTCCAAGTATCTCTGGCTACTCAGTGAAGCAGCTTTGCTGAGCAGCAGAATGGTCCCTGTGTTCCCTGTGATATACACAGCTGCCAGATGACACACAGCACAGGAAGGAGCCAATGGCAGATCTCTTCCCAGTTTTTCCTGAGGTGTATCACAACCCACACGTGGGCAACAGCACAGCCTGACATGTGCAGATCCAGAGAGCAGCAAAACACAGATGGAGGGTGGATGTGATATGATCTTCCCCGTCTGCTCTCTGCTCTTCTCTGGACACCCAGCACAGCAGCTACATGGGAGTGAGGCACCTTCACTACTTTGTGGCCCCTCTCTTTCTCTTCATCCCAGAGTTTTAGCAGAGAACATCTGAGGGCCTTGTGCTTGGCCCCAGCCCCTTCCTGCTCTCATGTGGCGCAGAGGATAGAGTGAAAAGTGAAATGCAATCTGGCAAGAAGAGCAGCAGCCCAGCATGCACGGGGGGCACCAGGATGGCCAGCTGCACTCTCTGCATCCGGCTGGGCTGGGGTCTGTGCTGAGCCCCGGGGCTTTCAGGCACTGCTGGCAGCTGTGCAGCAGCCTGGCAGAGGCTGCAGGAACACACAGGGCTCCATCCCTGGGCCGTGGTCCCTGCCATTTCCCTGCTGTGCATCAGGAGGGTGAGGGGGCAGAGCAGCACTGGTTGTATATGCACAAACCCAACAGCAGTGAGATGTCCCAGGTGCCAGAGGATGGCTCTCATCCCATATTCCTGCAGAATAGATTTATTCTCTTGCAGGTACAAACACTTCAGCAGTCACATGCTGGTTTGCTGTGGTAATTATTCACTTGCAAACCTTCTGAGCTGCTCAAAGCAGGCTTTGGGGTTCATCATGTATTGGTGCTAGCTCCTCTCAGTCAGACAGACAAAGCAAGGAGAAATGTACTTTTGCCAAGCCATCCAGGTGAATTGTGCCACCCTTTGTTTCTGTAGAAGATTTTTGGCTTTCACATGTTGACACTACTTGAGACACAAATTATTGGAAATGTTCATTTTTGTGAGATTATTTACTATTCTTTTTGTTAGTGCTCTCTTGAAAATAAATGTCAGATTGCTGAAATGTCAGTTGAGATGCATATCCATCTCTGAACAGACCTAATGTGATCTAATGTAATCTCATCAGCAGATCAATGTTGCTGAGAGCCAGAGAAATCAGAGCTATACTATAAAAATTCAGATCCTTGGGAATATGAAAACACCAGATTTCAAGCATTTTCACAGGTCATTACCATGGTTCATTGCCTTTGCTCATGGAGGTCAAGGGGGCTGTTGGGAACAAGTCCCTGTGCTTGGGGGGGTTCATGGAATCTTTCCTATACTTCTCTCCAGGGACTTTTTCCTGCTTGAAAGAGAGAAGTGAGATAATTCAGCAGTCACACTCATTGTACAGCATGTAAAAGCATCCAGGGTTGAGGTTGCTTGCACTTGCACCTGAATTTAAGCTAATTTTAAGGAAATGAATTCTAAAGACATGATTCATCTCCACTACTGGACAAAATTTAATGATGAGGCAAATCATAATAGCAATGGAGATTTTCTCCACAGGCTGTTACTATAGGCTCAGTGGGTACATGCATTCAAATGCTTGTCCCTGTCTGCTCCCACAAAGATGTACAGAAAATGCTTTCATGACTGGAGTATTGAGCTCAAAAACTGAATAAAATTGTCCCCACTGGTCCCTGCAGATTGTTATATTTCATATTTATGAGGTATCTAAAGACTTCATAAGAGGGCAGATGAGAAATCCTGCGAACCTGAAACCACTGCATTAAAACATTTCCTAATGCAGGTATTCCCACTGTGCTCCAGCTGTGGATTTTTTGGTTTCTTGCCTTGGTCTTTTCCATCCATCCTTCCCTGAACTCCACTCCTGATGCTGATGTGGGCTTCCCATGTCATCAGGAAAGGAGGTGAGAGCTGCTGGAGGTAAAGTGCTACTCCACTTTGGGTCTGCTCTCAGGACACAGAGCTGATGCCCAGAGCACCCCGCAGGAGTGTCCAGCCTCTGAGAGAATCCCCTCTCCTACCAGCTGGGAGCTGGGCCACAGGAAGCAGGGATCCTGGCAAAGCCTAAACCAAGGTCTGCTGGCACAAGAATCAGATTTCTGGAAGCAAAAAGGAAGTGTCTCTGCTCTGCCATTCAGAGCTGAAGGCAGTTGGAAGCAGACAAGACATTTCAGTGCCTGAGACTCGTCCAAAGGGAGAAAATTCAACAGCTGAAATTGTCAAGTCCAAATGAGAAAAATCCAATTCAATGTGTTTGTTGCACCATGCAGCTCCTTGCAAGATTTCTCTGCCCTAGAGAGTTTCATAGTTTACTCTTTTCTACATTAAATAAAAGTTTGATAAATAACAGAAACAACAAGAGCTATAGAACTACCCCTGAAGTTTTATTTCACTAAAAAGGTGTGTTAGATGTAAGGGTCTGGACATTCCTCATATACCATGAATCGGCAACATTTTATTTTTTCATATTTGCTTTTAATGCACTTGGGACACCATATCCTTCTTCGTTTGCAAAGATTAGTCCTGCTTTTATGACTTGTAAAATGTGGGACAAACAGGCACAGGAATTTTCCAGGACATTTCATGGACTTGACCATAATAAATAACCCACATTTGGTGATAACAGAGTGAATACCCCAGTAATACATTAAATAAAGCAGTTCTGTAATTCAGACAGTTGTTAACCATTCAAAACCACACTATACTTGATGCCTTTCTGTGCAGGTGAGCCAAGGTTTGTCTCCTGGGGAGGGAAAGATGTGCTCAGCTCACAGCAACATGAGGATCACGTATGTGCTCCTCCATCCCACTCACATCATTCACTGAGTGCTCCCTCTTGATATATGAGAGCCATTGCAGCTATAATCTAGCTTTTACTACATATTTTTACTTACTAAGGGCAGACTTTTGGGCAAAATCATAACACTTACCACTCTTAATGTGGTAAATTTACCAATTTACCAATGGCTTTTGTTTTTCCCTGAGAAAAATCCCTCTTTGTGGTGAAAAATGCGGAAGGAAAGCACTAGGCACCAACTGTCTCTGCCAGATACTGAATTACATCCCCTTGAAAGAGTACTTGAGCTTTTATTGTCAGAGCTTCCTTGGAGGCAGTGTAATTGGATTCTCATGCTTCAGACAGAGAGAAGGAACAAACAATGGAGGACACGTGTGGGGGTACCAGGGTGCTGATGCTTGGCTTAGGAGCTCGAAATAACATCTTTAAATATGCTAGACCAGCCTTTCTGCAGTGAAGCCTGACATCTAAGTTATTCACAGTGAACTGGAACGCTGGGGAGGAGCTGCATGGCCTTGGAGCCAACTGCTGAACTGCAATGGAGCACATCCTTTCCATCCTAGAGAGCAGCCTGGGTTAGCTGAGTGTCCCTCAGCTGGCGAGGAAGAACTGCCCAGAGCCAGAGGAAGAGTCAGCTCTTGCTCAGTACAAGGTACCTGACAGGTTTGCCATGACTTCTCTACCATAGCTGCAATTATTTCTAATCCCATGTGCCAGAGACACAGACAGGACCAGCTGTAGCACACCCAGCAAAGGAGGGTAGAGGATGTTGTTCTGAGCTGAAAGGACAAAGTTCTATTCTAAAACTTCAAGCTATTCCCTGTGACTATCAAATGGCTGTGAAGGAAAGGCAAGGGAGTTTCTATCAGCTCAGGACATGGAATTTGACATGCACTAATGCAGAAGATTGGCTCTTGGCAAAGAAGGCTCAGCAGATGCAAAGGAGAGAGGTCGTGCAGGGGAGCTGACATGGCAACTGTCCCTCATGGTCCCTCAGGAGACAGAAGTGAGCACTGCCAGGTTCAGGAAATGCTGGGGGTTTTAACTTTTTAGAGGATTCAGTACAAGGAGAAAAAGCAGATGAGTTGTTCCAGAGCCAGCTGACACTGGCAAAGGGTGGGGAGTTGCTCTGGAAGCCTCTGTCAAGCCTTTTTTTCCTTAGTTTGAAGGGAACTCCTCTGGAAAGAAAACTGCTTTGAAGTTTCAAAAAATAACCAAAAAAAAAAAAAAAAAANCCCAGTCTGACTTTGCTAGCAAAGTTTAGACAGGAACTACAAAGGAAGCTACAAATGTTCAGATAGGAATCAAGAGCCAGGGCCCTTGAATAAGTGATGCAGAAGATAAAGTATGATTTGAAAGGAAACATTTCTGAAGACAGGAATGCCATGACCCTTGAACATACAGTCCCAAAACCCACCCATGAGCAGCAGCTTTCTTTTTCAGGGAATGACTGGAGAAAAGGTGGTGTTCTGCAGGTTGTACTCTGAAAATGCTGTTTGTTCACTGAAAACCTGAATGAAAGCTGGGACATAAATGCCATCACCAACAATCTGAGTTTTTAGCTATGGACAATACATTTTACCTCATTCAATTAAAAAAAAAATATATATTTTGCTATACTTCAGAAGCAAACACTTCTCTAAAATACTAAAATTTCCAACTTCAGTCTCTCAACCCAGAGTTCAATTGCTGAGTTTGGGGTCTTGGTACAGAGCTGGAGGAGGCAAATGCCTCCAGGGGACGTGGCCCCGTGCAGGGATCCCTCAGGGAGGGCAGTGGTGGTCGATTGACAGTGAGAAGCAGAAAATGGCCTTGTCTCAGGTGTGGGGAGGTCAGCTCTGGAAGCAGCTCAGGCAAAAGATCACTCCTCACCCCCTCCTGCCATCACTCATCTACTCCAGAGTGCCCCTCACATCCTTGACAATCTGGGCATCTCCCACTGGATTCTTCTGCTCTTAAAGCATTCACAGCCTTTTTCAGTGCCTCTTATTCGTTCTTGGATTTTGTTTTTTCTTTTTCATTTCTTCAGATATTTCAGGGGCTAAGTTTTGGAAACGCTGATGATGATTTCAGCTTGGGTTAGTTTGCATTCCTAGTATGAAAAACATATCTTGCATTCATTCCCTTCTCTCTTTTCAACTGCCCTTTATCTGACTGCTCAGGAAGAGCAGAATTAGCCACTGCTTTGTTTTCTCTCCTCACAGCCCCAGCTGCACTCACTACAATTCCTGGCTTGCAAAGGA